AAGATGACCCTCGAGGTCACCTCGCTGGACATGCTGAGCATCCAGCACAGCACGCTGCACATCCACAGTGCTGCGCTGCCGGTCCAAGGCACGTCCTGGGGACTCAGTCTTCCCACAGCGTTTCCATGGCAGGGGGGGAAATTACTCCTCCAACGTCTGACACTGGAAGCAATGCTTCAAATGCTTTGATCCTCATGGATCACAAAGAAATGGAAAATACTTCATAGCATTCACAAGAAACCAAACCAAATTTGCCCCTTATCGCCTTTTCTTTAAGACTGGGAACAGGGCTCCCTGTGTAATACACAGGATTAATGGACTTGACTGTCCCTGTCATGCCCACTGACTCTTTGTCAGCTGTGCCTTTCTAGCCAAGATCCTTCCTGGACTCAGTGGGATAGCAGGAGAGTATGCTATTCCCTAAGGACCTGAGAATATATTACACACATATTCATGACAGTGCAGACTCCTTTATCCCCACTGCAGATACCCGGAGGCTTAACATCATTCCTCCCTATTGGTTATCTAAAATAATGTCAGTGATTAAATCTCCCTTCTCTAATCACACCATAGTATTATCCCTTCTAGGAACAAGCCATACCAGTATAAATACTACCATATATGCATTTTTATGCTCACAAAGAGGAATTCCATCTTTCTGGCAATATATATAAAACAATAGGAGCTTGTGTGTCTGAATGAGCACTGGAAATTTTCAAAAATACTTCTATAAGGTGCCATATTGACCAGTAGCAGCACATATCTATTATGCTACAGGGGCTTTCTCCTGTCGTGCTCTGAGCAGACCTGAACCAATATGGTTGCTAAACCAAGGCATTCTGTTTGCACAGTATTTTCATCTTGGTAGTGCTGTATCTGAGGTGAGCAAGCAATTTCAGAGCACGTCAGAAAAACTTCAATATAGGAAACAAAAGGTGAAGTCTTTTTGCAAGGCTTCTGACAAGGAGAAGCTTACAGGAGAAGCAAATGTTGAATAGGGCTGCCCTATGCTGGCCCAGCTATATGTTAATCTTGAAATAGTGGGCATAAATGTATTTAATGAGCAAAGCTCTGCAGTTGCCATCATTAGTACAGAAAGGATATGACAGCAAGAATCCTTTAAAACTTCTCTTCCACTGAAAAGCATCAGCCAAGCAGCTTGTCAAGAGCAATGGTCTGTGCATATCAAAAGGATATTCTCTAGCATAAGATTTATGCAGGAAGAGTTTGACTCTACTTTCTACCTTGGTTCTTTAAATGTGATTAATCCCACAGGACAAGTATTTCATTCAGGTCCTCTTTGCCTTCATTTTAGGATGGGGATTTTCTCTTCATGGCCATTTCTTTCTCTCCTTCTGCTGGAGCCTTGAAGTCTGGAGCTTTGTATTTAATCACTGCCTATGGAGTCACTGCAGATGGTATCTGCTCAATGCTACCAAATGCTAGATGGCATCTAATAAAAGCACAAAAACCCTCATAAAATTATTTCAAAATTTGAAAGTACACATGTCAGTCAAGGGGGTAAGTAAACTCAGTCAAGTGTCCTACTTAAATACATCATTTTAATTCAGCTTTAATTCCAATGTATCTGCTTTAGTGTCACATGGTACAAAAGAAAATGTCCGTGCTTCCAAATCCCTCCAAAAAGATAATTTCACAGGGAAGACAGGACCCTCTAATTATGATTTTTACAAATGTGCTTTAATTTGGTTGTTCCATGGCAGGGAAGGCTTCTTTTCTCGGTGGGGCTCCTTGTACAAGATAACCAGGATTAAAGACCACAACCAGTCACTGAATAAGAAAATCCCTGAGAAGAGAGAAACAGCTGGAGGGAGGCCAAAGCTGCTGCCAAAAGATGCTTCAGTGAGTGAGTGCATTCACTCTGATGAGGGAGGCCAGAGGATAGCTCTTGAGAAACAGTTCCTGAATTAGCTTTCAGTCTTGTTATCTGGCAGTGAACTTTACAGCTTTCACAATGAGCAGCAGCCTTCACAATCCAGCCGAGTGTCCTTCCAGTGATGACACAGTGGATGTAGCTAGGCTGTATGAGAAAGATTGTCAGCTAAGCAAACCTCTTAGTGAAGGCTTCAAATGCTCTTTCTCCTTACTAGGTATTAGTTTTGGCACAAGAACAAAACTGATGGTGCAAAAGGAAGGCTGCCAGCAAAGTAATAACGAGAAGCAGGATTAAGCTGGACTTAGCTTTCTAGAAGTGACTGGTTTATGTTACTGGTTTGCTGGGAACACAGAGAAAGTCTGCACGATGGTGAGCAACTGAGCATCTAATACACAGGAAACTGCAAAGAATTCTGCCCTTTCCACTCATTAGTGAAGACTACTCATAGCTTTGCAGGGTCAGGCCTTACCCAAACTGCTCTTTAAATCTGAGATTTCAATTATTTGAATGGCATAAGGTTAAAATATCAAATGAATCCTACATCTCTTTAAGGTGCCCTTTACTTACTTCTTTTGAAGTCACTTGTGACTCTCTAATAGGTTGTACTCACCACATTTATATATCCTCTTAAATAAAACACGTGTGGCTCTTGGCAATACAGCTCATATGTTCATAAAATCCGAGTAATTTTGTGCTAAATTCTAATTAAGAAATTTAATTGAGCCTCCAGTTGCTACTCTGTCTGTGTAAGCAGCAGCTAGGGATCACCTAAGCATTCAGAGATCTGTATTACTTTCTTTTTGTTTATTTAAAGACCTGTACGTGACACGTATTTCTTTAGACAAATTCCCTTGAAATACTGGACAATTAATGCAAAGAGCATGTAAACCTTGTGGCAACTCCTAAACAACCATCTGAGTACCCTGTAAGTGTTACTGAAGCTCTCTCTTTTTGCCCTAGGTCAAAACCCTTTCTGTGTCACACAGAAAAATAGCAACATTATTTATTCTCAAAAGCATTTATTATTAGAAAGACTAAATTGTCAAAATAAATGTTTTCTTGTTATAGACATTTAGCCACTATTATTTTCCACTGTGTCTTTCGTTCAGAGACTTTGTTATACACCATTAAAAATCCAGTGTCAATCAACTGTCTCTCAGCAGTAGAAAGTGACATCCCTATGAAGATCAGGGCCCACAAATGAGACTTTGAAACCCCTGTACTGGTAAACATCCAGAACAGCTTTGCTGCTGTCATTACAGATATCCTGGTGTAACTCAGGTCAGGCTCTGTGCACAGCGCCTGGCTTCTTCTCAGAAGGATCAGTTGCACTCCAGTAAATTAAGCAGTAACACAAACAACAATCCAGACACCCAGGTTTTTCAAAGGTCTTCCCCCTCCCAAGCCTGTTTAGCCATGCTTATGTATAATTAAAGCCTACAATGGCCTAACTTTTACCATATTTCAAGCTTGCATCTCGATTTTGTTAAGGGTCCAGTTCTGTTGAAATGGTTTCAGCTGATAAGATTATTCTAGTAAGCAGGGCTTAACCTTGGGGAAACAAAGAGTGGATTGAAATAGAGTTCGCCCTTCGCTTCTCTTCCAGAGCACACATGCCCGCAGAGGCCGCTTGCTGCCCCTGCCGCGGGTCCCTCGCCGGGCAGACGCGGCGTGCGGAGCGCTGGGCGGCCGCTGCCACCTGCCGGCAGAGCCGGACACGGTCCAGCCGTGAAACCGGAGCCTGAAGGGCTGCCTGTGCGCCATTAAAATCCGTCTCCATTAAGTAAAACCATCGTGCGAAAACAGGACAGTCTTCTGCTGCCCCTGCTCTTCACGCAGCTTTGGCTGCGAAGGCTATGCCCAAAGAACTCCGTCAGAAAAATACCTCCAAAATTAAAACAGTTGTTCTTGCACATATACAAAAAAGGCCTTCATTGCTTAGAGCATATTTGTGTTGAGACTGATTTGTGTTGTTTTTAAGGCAATTCAAACAACCTTAAACCTTTGAGATATCCGTGTCTATTCTAGAATTGAGACTTAACAGCTGAACTTATCCTCATTAGGCCAAACTGATTTCTGCCCCTGAATTGTGGTAAAATTGAAATGCAGGTCTGGGTTGAAACATAGCAAAAGGTGAAAATTCTCTTTTCAACTTTATATGCTATGCCTGATACACTAAGTAGCCCACACAGCAAATCTGCACATGCCTTGTGAGTGCTAGCTGTTTAACATACTGTGTGTAGCTGATATTCATATGTGCGAGAGGTTAATGACACCCTGTGAACCAGAGGGTTCCTGGGCACACTTGGGTAATTGCTGCGCTTAAATGCTTTAGACTCACAGCAGCCTCTGGAGATAAAATTCTCATGCAAAATTCATTCCCATGAATTACTGCAGTTCATCAAAGATTCTCCTCACAAAAGTACTGCATATGGAATTTCTTCAACTGAAGCTGCAGGCTCTGGAAGCACCGAGCAGCCCTCAGGCTGCCCAGCACCACTAACGCTGGCCTTGTGGAAACAAAGGACTGTGGATATTTGGGGGGGAACAAAACAAAACAAAACAAACCCACTATGTGACTATGACCGTCTTTTGGGTTTTGGGATCTTTTTGAGATGACAGCCTTTCAGCTGCCATCACCACCAGAAGCACAAGAAAAGGGGAGGGGGGATGGCACACAAGAATCAGCTCTCTTCAGTTTGGTTTTCTATTCCTTGTGCAACACGACATGATGAAATGTTACCTCATCTAGACTCATTAGGTTACAAAGTAATTCCAGGCTGTCTAAACGCATACCCTTACGATACACCTTCAGACAAAAAAAAAAAAAAAAAAAAAAAAAAAAAAAACTTTCTGAACGTGCTTAGAGCGTACTTCCAGAACGAAGCTTCTCCGCCAAGGAACAAACCTGCACGTACCAAGAGGAATCGCCTCTCTTTTCTTCCGCAGGGCGGGGGAAGCAAATACACCCAGTACACTTTAAGCGGCGGTGATGACAAAAGACGAGACACTGTGTTCCACACTGCCCCACAGCCCCCACGGCACACGCCCTTCCGCGGGCGGGGACAGGCGGGGCCGCGCTCCCTCCCGTGCCCGCGGCGCTCCGGCCGGAAGCGGCGGCGCGGGGCGGAGCAATCATGGCGGCTATGGCGGCGCAGCAGCGTGAGCTGGGGCGGCTCTCGGCACTCGCCGTGTACCGTCGGGTGGCGGGGGCCGGGCGGATGGAGCGGCGCCGCCGCGGGGCCCCGCTGCCCGCGGGCCGCAAGCGGGCCAAGGCGCGCCTGAGGGAGGCGGCGGCTCGGAGCCGGAGGCGCCGCCGCCCGCCGCGCCCCCGAGCCGCGTGGAGCTCCCCGTGGAGGCTCCCATGGAGGCCCCCGTGGAGCTTCCCGTGGAGGCTCCCATGGAGGGCCCCGTGGAGCTTCCCGTGGAGGCCCCCGCGGACCCTCGGCCCGAGGCGACGGCCGCCGAGCCTGACGCGAAACGGGGTAGGCCCGAGGCGACGGCCGCTAAGCCTGACGCGAAACCGCGGGGTTGCCGAGCCTGACGCAAAACCGCGGGGTAGGCCCGAGGCGACGGCCGCTAAGCCTGACGCGAAACCGCGGGGTAGCCGCAAGGCGATGCCGGGCGGCCCGCGGCCGGCGCGGGAGAACGGCGGCGGTGTGTCGGGGCTGCTGCGGCGGCTGGCGCGGCTGGAGGACAGCCGGCAGCGGGCGGCCGAGCTCTTCCGCTGGATGCTGGCGCCGGTAGCGCCGGCGGAGTTCCTGGGGCGGCACTGGGAGCGGGCGCCGCTGCTGGTGCGGCGGGGCGACCCCGGCTACTACGCGGGGCTCTTCTCCACGGCCGACTTCGACGCCGCGCTGCGAGGAGGAGAGGTTCACTTCGGCACCCACCTGGATGTGACCAGCTATGCCGAGGGAGTGCGGGAGACGCACAACCCCTCCGGCAGAGCCCTGCCCGCTGTCGTGTGGGACTTCTACCAGAACGGCTGCTCCCTGCGCCTCCTCTGCCCGCAGGCCTTCTCCGCCACCGTCTGGCACTTCCTCTCCATCCTGCAGGAGCAGTTCGGCAGCATGGCAGGGGCGAACACCTACCTCACGCCCCCGGGTACGCAGGGCTTTGCCCCTCACTATGATGACATCGAGGCCTTCGTGCTGCAGCTGGAGGGGAAGAAGCACTGGCGTGTCTACAGGCCCCGAACAGATACTGAGGTGCTGCCCCAGTTCTCCAGCCCAAACCTCACGCAGGCTGAACTCGGCGAGCCTGTGCTGGAGACTGTGCTGGAGGCCGGGGACCTGCTGTACTTCCCCCGTGGCTTTATCCACCAGGGTGATTGTCTCCCTGATGCGCATTCACTCCACATCACTGTGTCTTCCTACCAGAGGAATTCCTGGGGGGACTTTCTGCAGAAGCTGCTCCCAGCTGCCCTGCAGATGGCCTTGGAGGAGGACGTGGAGTACCGGCGGGGGCTTCCCATGGACTACCTGCGGTATATGGGGGTTGCTAACTCCGACACAGCTGATGCTCGGCGAACAGCCTTTGTGGAGAAGGTGCAGAGCCTTATAAAGAAACTTGTTGACTATGCACCCATCGATGCTGCTGTGGATCAGAGAGCCAGGTCGTTTCTTCATGACTGTCTCCCTCCGGTGCTCACTGAAAGTGAAAAGGCGCAGAGTGTCTATGGCTTCCCGGCCCAGTGGCAAGACGGAGGCCCCTGCAATGTTGATATCCTGATAACAAAAGACACTGAAGTACGCCTGCTCCGTCATGGCGTCGTTAGACTGTGTAATGAAGAAGCAGGTGTGATGCTGTACTACACTACAGAAAACTCAAGAGTGTATCATAAGGAAGAACCCAAGTTCCTTGAGCTAGATCCTGAATATACAGACAGTATTGAATTTCTCTTGTCTTCCTATCCAAATCATGTAAGTGTGGCTAACCTTCCATGTGAAACCTTGGAGGAAAAGATTTCTCTAGCTACACTTCTGTTTGAGAAAGGTATTCTGACTACGAAGAAGCCTCTGGCAAAAGCCTAACTCTTATTTTTTCAGAAAATAAAAGTACACTTGTTTAGAAAATGTTCTGTCTTGGTCTTGCCTTCCGTCTGCTAGACATGAATCAGCAGTTCAGGTCTCTGCATCTCATCTGGGGGTAGAAAGTCTATGTCATGGGTAGAGAAATCAAATGTTTTGAGTAAAATAAGTATTTGCTCTAGGAGCAATTCTGCATGGCTGAGTGCCTAGAGAAGAGAATTGGTTATCTTCTTTTCACCAGCCATGTTACTACACCCTAGGTAACTTCAGAGAGGTTGTGAACTTTCTTGTAGGCATTGTCATGTTTTCACAGTATTTTAAAGCAGCCTGCTCAGCTGCATGCAGGAAATACTGTTCATAGGCCTATTTGGTGGTGGTCACCATTCTGTGTGCCTTTGCTGGGCTATGCTGCATATATGGTGTGGCCTTCAGGCCTGTGCCATGTTGTAAAGATCCTTTTGTCACACATTTGCTCTTCCTAAAAGTGGGGCCTCCAGGCAGCTTCCACTCGGTTTGAGCAATTACACCCACCTATGTGGCACTGCCCTTGCTGAATGATGCAGTAAGATTTTCTCAGGCAAACATGATGGTGCGTTTGAAATGCTTCAGGCTCGCTTGCTTCCTTTTCAGTCCAGTGACAGAGATAAAATATCTTCCCCCACTGGTTTCCCCACAGCAGTCTTTAGCAGTGAAATTACTGGTCCTTTCAAGGCAAGTGGGGTGCCCTCCAATATGTTTGGGATTTTTTTGTGCTGGGTGAAAAAAGTTTCATTTTAGGACCTATCAAGTTACATGAATACATGCCTGGCTGTGAAGTCAGTTCCCATAAATACTGGCAAACCCCTGAAACACTTTTCCACAAAGCTATTTTATCACAGCAGTCAGCAGGTGAGAGATATTCTTTAAAGCCCCCTGAAGTCTATACCAACAGTGAGCATTACCCTGTGCTCCTCTGAGCTGTTATCCAGGTTTTGCAAGATGACACCCATACACTCTTTAACTGTTTGGGATTTAAGTGTACACTATATCCTCCAAGATCCCATACTTGCAACACTGCCAGCCTTTCCTCTTTTGCCTGCATGCTTTTGCTAAATCTTGAAAGCTGAGCTGTGTAAAATTGCACAAGATCATGCTGAGGTGCCCTTGGGGCTTCTTGGCTCTGTGAAGCACTAGTGGCTGGACAGAAATGCTGTTGCCACACTCATCCTCTGATCCCCCTGTCTCTTCATCCTCACCAGAGGGTCAGCCATCCTTACCCCACCATTTATGTCCCTGGTGACTATCTCATGTCTCAGTGGTGCCCTTCCTGGATTGCTCTGTGTGCAACCACAGGCACCAGCACTGCAGCTTTGCTGCTTGGGGCTGTGCTGCAGAGCTGCATCTGGAGCTCATGCAGCTCTTTTTGTGATGGCTGCAAGCAACCCCATGTCTGTTCTGAGCACTTTAATGCCAACCAAAGACAGCATAAAATCCCCTTAGTTTTCCCTTTCCCTGGACTCTGGAAACTGCCTGGGCTAGACACCTTACAGGTACTCCTCACAGATTTACACAGGGGTACCCAGGCACAGAGCATCTCTTTTCTTCATTGCTCTTTCTGCAGAAAGGTATTTCTTGCTGAGACCTGCAGAGTGTACCAAATTTTTTTAACTAGGAGGTGGTGGTCCATTATGATCCCAGTAAGAAAAGCGTTCATATTTTGTAAGGTATATCTCTTTCTTCATTGCTCTTTCTGCAAAAAGGTATTTCTTGCTGAGACCTGCAGAGGTGGTGGTCCATTATGATCCCAGTAAGAAAAGCATTCATATTTTGTAAGGTATCTAAAAATGCCATGTATTACAGCTAATTACACCAATCTTACATCCCTTTAGATGCAGAGAAGCCCAAGCAAAGAAGCATTTCCCCATGTCACGCAGATGTGGTTCATAGCAGAGATTGTCCCCTTTCAGTCTTTTAAGGTATTATAAGATTCTTGTATAAGGAAACAGCTCTATTTAGCTCTTCCTAGCTGTAAGGAAACAGCTCTATTTAGCATATATACAGTTAAACAGAAACTTTGCAAGGGAATGTCTTCCTGCACTGTTCAATAAGGGCAGGGCCACGTAAGCTGTGTTACCTCAGGTCCCGTGTGGGACCTGCCTGCGGTCTCCTCTGTGAGGAAGAGCTGCCTGAGTTTCCTGTAGGGCTTGTGTTCTGTGCAGGCAGCACAGGCCTGAGGGCCCTGTTGTGCAGGCAGCACAGGCCTGAGGGCCCTGTTGTGCAGGCAGTACAGCACAGGCACCAAAGGCATGGGGCAGTGTTGTGTCCTGCAGAGGCCACACCGTGGCTATTGGAGGGGAATGTTCTGCATCCCGTAAGGCAAGGACCATGCTGACTGTTCCAAGCAGTGCAGAAACACAAATGAAGGTACAGGGAACATATCCACCAATTTTTCCAAGCGAAGCTGAGCAGGACAGGAGAGTTTTGAGAGAGTAAGACTATTTGCTCTCATAATCAGACCCTTGGGGCACAGGAACAGCATCTTTTTGAAGGACACAAGGACCATTAAGTTTCACAACAGCTACATGGGGCACAAAAAGTGGGGAGGGGAGTCAGCAGTCCCACATGTGCCTGTCACTTTGCCACTTTCAAGAAAGATGCAAAAATACTCATCTGGTTTAGCTAACATCTGCCAGAATTCTCACCTAGGAAAGGGGAAGGATCAAACAGATATGCACTGGAAGGGCAGAGCAGGAATGCTATTCAGATACCACCACTGAGAGGAGATACCTGCATTGTGGAAAGGCGACACCTGCATTTTTTGAAGCAGTTTTCATGGATTGTCACCACATGCCCACATGTGAACCCTTAGTCTAGAAAATATAAAGAAAAAAGCCTTTACTGGTGGCCAGCTGTGGGGGGTTGACCTTGGCTGGCTGTTGGATATCTGCCAAGCCACTCTTTCAATCCTCTTTAGAAACAGGAGACGTGGAGAAACTAAGAGAAACCTTACATGTCAAGATAAGGACAGGGAATAATTCATCAATATTTTGCCCAACATCATGGGCAAAACAGACTTGACTTAGAGAAGATTAATTTAATTCATTACCAAAAAATAACAGAGTAGACAGAGACATATAAAAAGAAAAATAAAACCACCTCCCCCTCATCTTTGAGCAGCATCAGGTACATCTCTGAGCTGGCTGAAACTGTCTCTGTCCAACGTGAGGGAACTCCGATCTCTTCTTACAGCCTCCCACTACCAAAATGGTTCCACATTAACTCTAAATAATCGTACTTTTCTCTTGCAACCAGAGCTCAAATGGTGTCACATTGTGCTTGTTCTCTCTTGGCTATCATAAGGGAACATTTTGCATGGAATAGAAAAAATTTTTGCGTAGGAGATGCCTGGCATTTGTTCAAAAGAAAAAATAAATATTGCTGTCACATTCTTTGTGTGGTTTTGAAAACTCTCAACATTAGACAATCTTCCCCTCCATGAATCTTTTCAGCTCAGCACTGATGAGCATTTTCTCCTGTCTCCCAGGTGAAGGGTCATACAATATCTTTCATGACTTTGCACATCCATAAAACAGAAAAATTGGTCTTTTAGTTTAAAGCTGTTACATTGCTCATAAATTTTTCCTCATTTTACAGGCCTCCTTCAGGTACTGAAAGGTGGCAATAAGGTGTCCCTGGAGCTTTCTCTTCTTTGAGCTGAGATGCTTCATCAGTCTCAGGGGATTGGCTGTGATGGTCCTGCTCTGCTGTGGGTGCTGGCAGGAATGCAGCAGTGGCACCAGGCAGACTTGGCATCTCCCAGCACGTGTGTGCCCACACCATTCCTGCAATTCCCCCCACCCCCGCCTGTGAGTGGGAAACTGCATCTATAAAAGAAGCCTCGGCTTGAATGCAGAGACAGTGCACTGAACAGCTCCGGAGCCATGTGCCAGGAACCCCATGTGGCTTGGAGCCCCGGGACACTCCCCACCCAGGCACTCTCCTCCATGGCCCCCTCCATCTGCCTGCAGCCCCGCGGACCCGCAGCCTCTCCGATGAGCCGCTGGCCATCGCCGTGCAGGTCACACCTTGTCACAGCTGTACAACTACAATATCTTCTATACCTTTGCACATCCATAACACAGAAAATAAAGGGCTTTGCCTTTTCTATTCCACTCCCAACCTTTTTGCTCAAGAAAAGGAATGGTGTTTTTTGCATTAGTCTTTGGTGAAACAGGTCATGTGCAAAATGCACAGTTATGTTTCTTCTAGGGTGGTTTCTATTCCTCTAATACTTGACAGTGCTTCCTGTGTCACTGCAGTCTCTACATGCATATGCTGTCCTCAGGTCATACTAATGGTCTCTAATGACAATTGTCTCTAATGAGAGAGAGACAAATTGCTTTTGGAGCAGCACAGCTCTTCTGGTGACTGTGTCATTGCAATGGAAACATCTGACTTCCATGCTGCTGGAAGTGTGTAAGAATGGCTGCTATGGCCACAATGCTGGGCTGTCTCTGGTTAAGCCTTGGGAAAGGCTGTTTGCCTTCTTTGTTATTGGGGTGAGTATTGCGCAATAAAGAGTCTGAAATTTGGAAGCCATGTAATCATTTGTTGTGCTTTGGTTAGAAGCAGATTTTGCATCACTCTCCCATCCCAGGGTGGATCAAGCGCCCTGTTGGTGGAAAGGCCCTGAGGGCCTTCTGCCCCTCCTCAGCAGAGAAGTCACACTCACTCCAAAACATCTGTGTACAATGAACTGCCACCAGTACCCCCAACAGCTTTGCAAGGACAAAATTGGGGGCCAGGAAGCACCATTTCTGTCAGATCTGGAGGGCCCTCCTTTGTGAACACCATCACCTCGTGCAAGCTGAACTAGTTGTCCTGGGTTTCTCCACGTTGCAGTTGTCCTCCAGGCCAGCTTGGTACACATGGTGCAAACCTCAGAGCCAGCAGCTGCCTCAGGCCTGTCACGTTTTCAGCACCTGGGCGTCCCCATTGTAGCCCTTCCCTGCACAGCATGTTTCAAAACAGATGTTATCAGCAGCACTGTCTGACACCTCTGGGCCTGCCCTAGCATGGATAAGGTTCTTAGTTTGAGCGTGGGCTAAAAGAGAATGTGACAGAGCAGGAGGGAGGAAGGAACTTAAGTCTCAGGGTAGCTCATGGCAATGCCATGTGTTGTCACCTCACAAAAGCTGCAAGACTGCATGTCCCAGGACATGCCAGGAGAGCAGCGCTGGCTGGTGGGGCTGTCTCTGCCCTGAGATGTTCCCAGGCCTGCAGCTTGGCTGAGTTAGAGGAAAAAAGAGCCTGCAGGAGAAACCCAGGAAAGAGGGATGCAGCTGTATCTCTGTCCAGTACAGCAGGCCTACTGTAGAGAACTTCGAGCACAGCAGATAAGCACACTATGCATCAAAAAGTGTCTGAAGAGAGCATCTGCCTTTTGGAAATCTTAGTATCATAGAATAGTTCAAGTTGAAAAGGACCTTAAATGTCACACAGTCCAACCCTCCATGCAATAAGCAAGGACATGTTCAACTAGATCAGATTCTCAGAGCCCTGTCCAACCTGGTGTTGGATGTTTCCAGGCACGGGACATCCATTGCCTCTCTGGGCGACCCACGACAGTGTTTTACTACTCTCATTGTAAAAAACTTCTACCTTATGTCTAATCTGTATCAACTGTCTTTTAGTTTAAAGCCATTGCCCTGCTAACAAATTTGTCCCCATTTTACAGGCCTTCTCCAGGTACTGAAAGGTGGCAATAAGGTATCCCTGGTGCTTTCTCTTCTTTGAGCTGAGATGCTTCATCAATGTCAGGAGATTGGCTGTCATGATCCCGCCCTGTCGTGGGTGCTGGCAGGGACGCAGCAGTGGCTCCAGGCAAATCTGGCATCTCCCAGCACGTGTGTGCCCACACCATTCCTGCCTCAATTCCCCCCACCCCCGCCTGTGTGTGGGAAACTGCATCTATAAAAGAAGCCTCGGCTTGAATGCAGACAGTGCACTGAACAGCTCCGGAGCCATGTGGCAGGTCAGTGCCCGCTCCCTGAGCCGGGCCAGCTCCCGTGCCTGGCAGAGGCGGCTGCCCTGGCCCGGCCCCGCGCCTGCAGCCCCGCGGAGCCCCGGGGCAGCCCCCGCGCAGGGACTCTCCTCCATGGCCCCCTCCATCCGCCTGTCGCCCGCCGCCCGCAGCCTCTTCGATGAGCCGCTGGCCATCGCCGTGCAGGGCCTCGGCCCGCGGCAGCAGGTCACCCTGCGGACGTCCTTGCGGGACGAGACCGGAGAGCTCTTCCAGGCCACTGCCCGCTACCAGGCGGGCGACGACGGGCAGCTGGACCTCGCCCGCTGTCCTGCGCTGCCGGGAGGCAGCTTCTCCGGCCTGGAGCCCATGGGGCTGCTCTGGGCTTTGCAGCCCCAGAAGCCTTTCTGGCGCCTGGTAAAGCGGGACGTGCAGAGCCCCTTCCTCCTGCAGCTGCAGGTCTTGGAGGGCCACGGGGAGCGCCCCGGGCGGCTCCTGGCCCAGGCGCAGCACGAGCGGGCGTTCCTGCGGGACGGGGTGCGGAGAGTCCCGGTGCGAGAAGGCAGGATCCGGGCCACGCTTTTCCTGCCTCCCGGTGAGTACCAACTGCAGCCATCCGGCTTTCTCTAACCGGTGTTTTGCTGGTGAAAGTTGTTCCATGACTTCTGTGAAGGAGTCCATTAAAGCCCCATGTCCTTTCCCCCCTCCTTCCCTCCCCACTCCCATGCCACTGACCATGCTTCCCAATTCACCTGCCCATGCATGTGCCAGGACACGGTTGCAAAAGGGAGAGGAATAACTATTCTTAACCGGAGCTTGAGGTTAAAAAAAAAAAAGAAAAAGAAAAAGAAAAGAAAACAAACTGAAAAACAACCATGAAGAAATTCACGGCAAGTGAATGTGAGTGTGTGAGGAGAGCTGCTGGACAAGAAGATGCAGAATACAGTGGTGGGGAAGGGCTCTGTGACAGTCCTTGACATTCTTACTCACTGGGAGGGGTTGGGGTTCTTCCTCCTCCCCCAACAACTACTAACTATAGAACTACAGTAACTATTTGGTGACCATGGCCCACCACATTGGGGTGAGCATCATCAGTTTTGAAAGAGGGAAGAGGAGGGGCTCAAGAACATTTACAGGGAATAAATCTTATCAGCAGGAAAGGCAATTATCTAATTGCAATGGGAAAGGCACAGAGCCTTTCTGAAATTGTAAGGATTTCCCAAGACACCACGTGTCTCCAGCATCTTCTGGGCAACTATACCAAGACTTCCCTGCCAGAGTCCAGGGTGTGGGAAGGCTGATTTCACAGACTTAGCAACCCGCCCAAAACAAGGCCAGGACTCCCTCCTCTGCCTCACCTCTTCCCCACCTGCTGACCAGGAGAGGGAAAAAGCCACCTGCATACACTTTATATCCAAAATATCCCACTTCCCCTGAGCTGAGGCACTTTCAGTAAGTCAAATGTTAGTGCATTTCCTCCGAGTCCCCTGACCTCCACCTTCTGCCTGGGTTTTGAAATGATAAGCCCTTGCCAAAAATTGCCTGGCACTTTGAATTGTTTTGTAGGCACTTTGAGTTGTTTCCTAGGCACAGGATAAAAAGCATTTATTCCCATCCTACTGCCACCACAAACAAACTTCACCTTAAGAAGACTGTAAGCTCGGTCTTTAATCAGTATTTCTCTTAGTTCTATTTGGAGATGTGTTTCACAACCATGATCTCACTACTCTCAAATTGTCCTGCACTGAGATACCCCGTCATGATTTTCAGTTCTTGAGCCTGCTCTCTACACCACAGATCTCCACATTCAGATTCAGTAGCTGGATACTCCTCAGCAAATGACCTAAGGCCATATAGAGGCAGAGAGCTCAAAGGGCTTTTGCTACAGTACTCACACCTCCCTTGAGCACTCCCATGGCCTTATTCAGCTGTACCACCTTTTCTGGGCTTATCAGTGCAAGTCCACAGAACCCTGCCACACAGCTAAGCCATGGGCCACAGACAACTGCACTCCTGGCCCCTGGCCACACAGCCACTGCTCTGAGTGCTCACAGCCCGTGAAGAGCCAGTAGATGTGCTGTTGCCTGCATGCAAACAGCCACAGAAGGAAGAGCACAGCAGCGCTTTTGATGGCAGGGCTCTCCATGGCCCCAGGCAGAGAGTGAACAGATGCTGTGCTCTCTCTCTCCTCGCCTCTGTGACACCCCACAGCACATTCCCACCTTCCACACCTGCAGCTTATCTGCAGATGCATGGGCCACTGTGGTGCAGGGTCTGAGACTGCAGCAGAAGGGCATCCTCCAAGGGTGGGAGGCATGAGCACACTCAGGCCTGTGGCTCTCCTGAAGCCAGAAGTAGGTGTGAGCTAGGTCTTCTCCACTCCCCACAGGTCCAGGGTCACCTTCTCTGGCTTGTGGCTTGTGGAGCTTTCCAGCAGGTTGCAGTCCCAAAACTAACCAGGCTGAAGGAATGCAACATGCAAAGCATTATCTTTCCCTGCATTGGCTGGACAGGTTCAGGATTCTCCCAGGATGAGGAAAAGAGCATCCAGGACCAAGAAAAATCCAAACAGAGATCTGCTGATCACCCACTGAGATACCTGTGGCATGCTGTGCAGAATTTGATACTGACTGCTGCCAGACACAACTGGTAAAGAAACAAAGTACTGGTTTGGGTGACTTACAGCTTTTCAAGAGATCACAAATATTAAAAAGTCACAATACAAACAAAAAATCATACAGTTTCTAGTTTGCATTGCATCTATCAAACCATGATACCTTGAGGACTTTTATAGTGGTAGGTGAAGCACTTGTTGTTACAGGGCTGCTTACAGGACAAGAATTTAGAACAAGATTCTTTTACCAGAGACTTTCCTCCTGTTGGCCCTATGCACAGTACTGCTGATTCCTAAAACAAATAAGAGTTTGCACCTTACCTAAGAAGTTCTGCTCCTCTACTTTTTTTCCTCTAGACTTTCCTCCTGTTGGCCCTATGCACAATGCACAGTACTGTTGATTCCTAAAACAAATACGAGTTTGCACCTTACCTAAGAAGTTCTGCTCCTCTACTTTTTTTCCTCTGCAACACACTCTAGAATTTTTTCAGGTGCTGACTCTGCACAGCTGACTGATAGTGTCTTTCCCAAAAGATGCTTTTCTGCAGTTCCTGTTTGGTACCTTGTTTGATGTATTCCAAACCAGAGAAACATTGAAAGGAGTCATTTCAGGCAATTTTGATCTTTTTCTTGTTTGCTCCAGGAGAAGACACCTTTCCAGGGATCATTGATATACATGGACTTGGAGGAGGTCTTTTTGAGCCCAGAGCAAGCCTGCTGGCCAATCATGGCTTTGCCACACTTGCCCTGGCTTATTATCAATTTGAGGATCTGCCCCAGGAACCAAAGGAACTCCACCTGGAATATTTTGAAGAGGCAGTGAACTATATGCTGCAGCACCCACAGGTAGGAACATCCGTTTCCTCTGGCTTCCAGGAACTGCTCCTCTAAAGTCCTCTCACTTTGCCCAAGTCATCTTTGGAGGAAGCTGCAGAAATACCTGGCAGGGCTGGCCTTTGCAAGGATTTTGGGTGTCTGAGTTCTAGGAAAGAGAAGGGGCAAGTATTCATGCACTGGAAGAAGAGTGGAGAGAGATCACAAGGCAACATCACAAAACAGATCAGATGTAGCAAGGTGGGAAGTGTGTGCAGGAGAAAGCCTTCATGAGTTGCTACCAATTATCCTCCTACAGTTTCAAGAGTAAAAAGTAAAGAGCATCTGCCAGGGTCTAAGACTAATAATTCATACCTGTGACCTACAAGCTGTCCCCAGATGGATGAAATCATGTCCCCCCACTCCTGGCTGATTTCAGAACACCAGGGAACATTCTGCATGTGAGTGGTTTGAAGTACAGTGTGAGGAGGAAGTATAGTGTGGGTGGGAGGATGTGCCTGTCATTTCTCCAGAAGGAAAAGTAATCATTGCCATGACTTTCTTCATGTGGTTTTGGAAACTCTCAGCATTGGACAATCTTGCCCTCCGTGAATCAGCTTTTGAGCTTTTCAGCTCAGCACTGATGAGCATTTTCTCCTGTCTCCCAGGTGAAGGGCCCTCCGTGTCACTGTGGTCTCTACACGCATATGCTGTCCTCAGGTCATACTAATGGTCTCTAATGACAATTGTCTCTAATGACAATTTTGGAGCAGCACTGCTCCTCTGGTGACTGTGTCATTGCAATGGACACATCTCTGACTTCCGTGCTGCTGGAAGTGTGTAAAAATGGCTGCTATGGGCATGATGCTGGGCTGTCTCTGGTTAAGGGAAAGGTTGTTTGCCTTTTGTGCCTTCTTTCCATCTTCCCTTACAAAGGAACTGCTCTGGCTTGTGGATACTTCTGGCCCCAAGATATCATGCAAAAAAAATTTTCTGTTGCATTTACAGCCATTTTGATCTTCTCCTACATGATGTGGAACATTTTAATAATTGTTACTGGGATGAGAATTGTAATAAAGAAACTGAGATTTGAAAGACAAGGAGTCTTTTGCTGTGCTTTGGTTAGAAGCAGGGTTTCCAACTTGACTATTTTCTCATCCCAAGGTGAAGGCTTAAGAAAGCTTACGGCTACTTGGGATCAAAGTTTGCCCAGGTGCGAACAGGAGACCATAGAAGATGGACACATAGCCCCTTAGCTTCCCTCTCTCCACAGCTCTTGTGTCACCAAGCATGGAGGAGGACAAATTTTTCTGAAGCCTCCAGGACCCTTTCCCTTAGCATCTGCTCCCACATATGGTCAAGCCCATGATCAAATCCAGTAATGTAAGCCACAGAGTGTTGTTCTCAACAATAGGAATAGTTGCCACCCATTCAGGGCAGACAACATACCCAAATGCTTGATGACAGAACACCTCACCTGTTTGGAGAGAAAGGGTAATTTCCATGGTGAATGAAAGACTGCCCAATATCTCTGATCACTTAATATTTCCAATTAGGGCAATGCTCAAGATTTCCTTAAATGCTTCCACTTCTTTCACACCTCTAAGACAGACACAAGGAGCTCAGAGGATGAGGCATCCCTGCCTTCATCTCCCAGGAAAAGTAAGAGCTTCAGGAAACAGCTCTCCCTCTGCAATTCCTTTTGGATCAGAAGATCCATCTCTGCCTAAGATTGACTGAATGACCCTGTTTTTTAAATCCTTGCACAATCCATTAGAAGAGCCACATGTTTCCTGACCTACCTAAATAGTCTGTGAAAGTGCTCCTCCCTTATTGCTCCTGCATCCCCGATCACCCTAACCACCCTTCCTAATACACCCGGCTGTGCAGCTGCCTAGGCCGGGCACAGCCTGATGGAGACATAACCCACCTTGCCCATGCCTTGGGGTAACGAACAGAGAAGCAGAGCCGGCAAGGAGTCAAGAAGCAATGGCGAGCTAGTGCTGGTGTGTCTTCTCCCCGCCTCGGCTGGAGCTGGCCCTTGCTGCGGTCCCTTGGCTGAGCGGCACGGCACAGTTCGGCCGTGCCGTGCAGAGCTGTCCCATCGCTGCCGGTCTGTCCCACACCGGCCCTTGCCTGTCCAGTGAATTCCGACTGCGATTCTGCTCGCTGGCTCCTCTTCTCCCCACGTCTCCTGTCCGCAGCCACCGCCCGGCCCGGGAGAGCTCGGGGGGACACCAAGGAGCTCGCCGCGGCCTAGACGGGTTTCAAGGATTCGGCAGCCTTGGATGAAGCCTACCACAGCCGGGGAAGGCAGCGGGGGGAAGACAGAAGAGGAGGCGGGCATGCAGGGAGACACGGAAATGGGCACGGAGGAGGGAAGCAGGCGGGCGGGACAAGGGCGCTGCCGCCCCGCTCCTCCCCGCCGGGGCGTGCCAGCGGCACTCTAGGCCCGAGCGCGGCCCTGGTTTCGCGAGGATCTGCCCCAGAATCCGCCCCCAGAGGCGGGAGCGGTCCGGAGCCATGTGGCAGGTCAGTGCCCGCTCCCTGAGCCGGGCCAGCTCCCGTGCCTGGCAGAGGCGGCTGCCCTGGCCCGGCCCCGCGCCTGCAGCCCCGCGGAGCCCCGGGGCAGGCCCCGCGCAGGGACTCTCCTCCATGGCCCCCTCCATCCGCCTGTCGCCCGCCGCCCGCAGCCTCTTCGATGAGCCGCTGGCCATCGCCGTGCAGGGCCTCGGCCCGCGGCAGCAGGTCACCCTGCGGACGTCCTTGCGGGACGAGACCGGAGAGCTCTTCCAGGCCACTGCCCGCTACCAGGCGGGCGACGACGGGCAGCTGGACCTCGCCCGCTGTCCTGCGCTGCCGGGAGGCAGCTTCTCCGGCCTGGAGCCCATGGGGCTGCTCTGGGCTTTGCAGCCCCAGAAGCCTTTCTGGCGCCTGGTAAAGCGGGACGTGCAGAGCCCCTTCCTCCTGCAGCTGCAGGTCTTGGAGGGCCACGGGGAGCGCCCCGGGCGGCTCCTGGCCCAGGCGCAGCACGAGCGGGCGTTCCTGCGGGACGGGGTGCGGAGAGTCCCGGTGCGAGAAGGCAGGATCCGGGCCACGCTTTTCCTGCCTCCCGGTGAGTACCGGCCAGGCCGGGCTCCCTCCCCCATGTTGCTGCCTCTACTTTCGGCCCCGCACTCGCAGGTCCGGAGCCAGTCCGCCTCTAGGCTCCCCCGGCGCTCCGCACCAGGCAGAGGACAAGGGCGAGCTGCGTCTCGCCAGTAGGGACTGGACACTCCTCAAGGCGTGGCCTGCTCAGCCCCACCAGCTCTGATCTGCTGGCCGTACTCCTCACACGGAGCAGCCTCATGGGCTGAAGCGCGTGTGTCTGTTTAACTGTTCCACCGGACATGAAGGCAGTGATCACAGTACACTTGTTCCCAAATGCCATGGGAGGTGGAGTCAGCCAGTTTTCAAGGCACCTTTTCTCTGTCTGGCTGTTTTCTGGGAAAATCGGGTAGTAATTCTTTTGAGTACGTGGAAGATGCTCTCCTAAACTGTGGAGTTTAAGTCTGAGGCTTCCCTTTCCAGCCTCTCCACACATCCTGAACTTAGTAACGTCGGAATTGCTGTAGCCCAAGTTGCCTTTTGCTGCCACATTGTCCCCAGTTCTTCCCTGTTTGCGAGCAGGTCAAGGAAAACATTGGAGAGACTTGCCCTGCCAGTATTTTTGTCAGAAAGTAATGAAAAGGGCCTGTGAGGTGTTCAGATTGTCTGACAAATGCTGTGTTGTCTTCCATCAGCTCTCCAGATTTCTGGTGATTTTCAGTAGGAAGCCTCATCTCTTGCAGTCCCTTGGTTCTGTAGTAGCCACACCCCCACCACATCCCACCTTTCCTTCCCTCCCTGATACAGAGGTTTTCACCAAGCATATCTCTGGAACCCCAAGGAGCTCCTCTATGTATCACGTGCCTTCCCCTCTCCCCTTTCTTTCCTGTCTGTCCCAGATAACTCTTTCATGACAGTGCTAAAATCATATGTGCTGTGCCAGCCAGTGCCCTGGGCTCTGACTGCTCTGACTTCTGTCTCCTTGAGGCTGGAGGTGAATTTCTGGTTCTTGCTTGTTAGACACGTTTGATGTTAGTCTGCAGACACCTGAGGGAAGCCTCACCCTCCCTCCTGAGCAGGAATAGAAGTCTCCCTCTTGGCCTCCTCCTTTCCATACTTGGTTAGTACTTGGCAGCAATCCCTCTCAGCTCTGGACTTCAGTCCGTGTCCCATGATGAACATAACTTAATGCTTCCCTTACCAGGTAAGCAAGGCTGGTTTCAAATACTTTCTTCTCTTAATCCCAGAATAAATTACTGAGGTGCATTTACACTAAAATTGAGAAGCTGGAACCATCAGAATATGGGATTTTTTTGGATTAGCCTTCTGAAAAATGCACTAAAGAGAAGCTGCTGGGTATTTTTTGGAGCAGAGCATAATACATTTGCAGTGAATTTACATGACACAGAGAACTAATTGTGACTGTCAAAAGATCCCTTCTGTTCCAGCTGCTTGTTTCCTGGTGTTATCTAAAACATTAGCAGGCTTGCTAATTTGTGCTAATGTGTTTAATATTGAAGCAATGTAGTCATTTCATTAAAACTGCCACAGTAATTTAGGACTCTCAATACCATTCTGCTGCTGTCATTCTGTTTTTTAAAGACACATTCCTAGACCTATGAATTTGGAATATATTAAAAATTATATTATAATATATAACCCAAATTAAAAATTGTGGGTTAATGTGTACTGTTGTGTGGTCTCTCTCAGGAAGTGGCCCCTTTCCAGGAATTATTGACTTGTATGGAACTGGAGGAGGACTCCCTGAATACAGGGCATGCCTGCTGGCCAACCACGGTTTTGCTGTGCTGGCTCTGGCTTTCTACAGCTATGAAGATCTTCCCAAAGAGATGAAGGAATTCCACCTGGAATATTTTGAAGAAGCTGTAAACTATATGTTACAACACACCCAGGTTGGTTTGTTCATTGACTCTCACTACAGTGAACTCTCATTAGTTAGGTCCTGTCAGACTACAGATGGGGCAGAGCTGCTGTACTTAAAACAGCATTGCTGTTGAGTT